ACAGAGGTGAGTGGTGGGGAGCCACTGAGATTTTCTGAAGAGCAGGGGAGTGGCTGTCATTCATAACGTTTACTCGAGACTGTAGCATATGGATTAATGTGAGTTGGAGTGAAGGCAGTAAGATGGGGCAGGTGCATACGTACAGATAGGAATTAAAGGCCTGGAGCTGAGGAGTGGGAAGGACCAACTAGGCTTTCCTGAGGCCAAGACTTGGTATCTTACTCTATCAGTCAGCTCGACCAAGGACCCCCGAGTGGCTGATAACCAAAGTTTATTTCTCATTCAAGTGGACATACATTACAGCTTAGTTACCTTGTGTTCTCTTAATTCCAGGACCTGGCTGAAGGGGAATTTTCTCTTTGGGATATTATGGATCTTGATTTGGGGAGCTATTATAAGTTACTTCATTGATTTAAACAGGTGCTTTGTGGGTGATATAGAGGAGTATCATCCATGCACATAAACAGACGTGCATACATACGTAGTATGCATATGCTATATTTTGTGTATGTGTGTGTGTATATGCTATGTATACATCTCCCCCCTTGATTAACTGACCGCAGATTATATTCATTCACCCATAGGGTGTTCATTTCTTCAATGTACCAGGGTTTCATTCCACCTCACATTCTTGTTCATAGCCTCGAGTTTTCTCAGTCACTTTTGACTGGGCTTTTATGCAGATCATTGCAGTGACAGGCCAATTGTCTCAACCCACGCTGCAATGAGAGTATACTTTAGGGGCATGCAGAGTTTTGTCTGTATTTCCTATTTAACTCATAAAAGTGTCCTTAGTTGATTATATTAGTAGAATCTAAACAACTTCAGTGTCAGCTAGATTTGGGTCGGTTTCTGTCAGTAGCTGGAGGTCATGAGTCTGTTACATATTAGTCGGTCACGTCCAAACTCCACTTGCTCTGAAATCTGAAGTTCTAGGCTCTCTTCCAAAAGACTCGGCAAATTCTATGACCTTCACTTGCACTACTAGTGCTGCCTGAGCCTTCCATGTTTTGTTTCACTATTTGTATTACAGGGTTGTGTTTTTTTGGTTTTGTTTTGTTCTCTGACAACAGCCCAATATCCACTTGGTTCACTGTGCCACTTTTCAAGTCTCTGCTCAAATGTTACTAATACCAGAGGGGCCTTCAGATGCCACCCTGTTTAAAGGAAAGCAGTACTGCCATCCTGTGTTCCTCTAACTCCTTTCTCAATTTTTCACTCTTTGACATATGATTACTTGTGTAATGTCTGACTTGTCTCTGTAGAATGTCAACTCCTTGAGGGCAGGGTCTTTGTTCTCTGCTGAATTCCTAGGACCCAGACCAGGGCTAGCTGACAACATGGTTGGTGCCTAATACTCACAGAATGAATGAGTGCCAATCAGGTATGTAGAATTTGTATCTGCTACTAATGCAAATAATCCAATGGAAGTTTCTGAGCCAGAAACTTCAGTGCCATTCTTTTTTGTTATTGTTTTTGTTTTTGCCATAGGGCATGTGTGCTCACCAGAGAGAGACACAGAGAAACAAAGAGAGGGAAAGTGAGAAATCCCCCCCTGGGGGGAAGGCCATGCCTATAATCCCTTTTCCTCCCACAGCACTGCCCTTCTGTGCCACCCAGCGCCTGGGCCCTATTCAGCATTATTCACCTAGCTGCTACTGCAGAACAGGTGCTGCTCCAGGTACTGAGAGATACAGCAGTGAACAGACGGTGCGGAAGTTCTGCCCTCCAGCTTCATTCTAGAGGAGATACACAGTAAGCAGGATAACTCAAACAGGGTTGAAGTGCTAAGGGTATTTATTCATTCAGCATCTGAGGGGACTTCAGAATGTTTGTGGAGAGGGGCTGGCAGGTGGTTTGTTGATTAAAGGCACTGGATTCCCACATGGCCAACCACGGTTTGTCTCAGACCTGGTGGCTTGGTTTCTCCCTTTCCCTTTCTCTCTCTCTATATGACTCTCCCTCGTCATATTAAAAAATAATAACACAACGGAATTAAATAATAAATAACTTTAAAATATTTATGGAGAAATGGAATAATATATGAGTTTATTTTGATGGGAAAAAATTGAAATCCATACAGTTTTTTCTTTTTTCTTTAATTGCCAGAGTATGTGTGCTCTCTTTCTATGGAGGAGAGAGGTTCTCCCCCAAGTTTGGCATGGTCATACCACCATCCTTTCTCCATTTCTCTATCCTGTCAAGACTTGGGGCACACACACACACATGCACCTGGCGTGTTTTTCAAGCCTCCAGGGCTGGGATTGAAACCTGGGAGGTGATTTCTCGCTATCTCTGGTGAGCGCACGCACCCTACAGCAAAAACCGGGTTGGCCACGAGGGACCTGTCTCTTAACTGTTGGGTTATAGGACTGGCCTTAACGCTTCTCTGACATGTTTTCTCCGCGTTTACACCTTCTTATGCATAGGACACTAGATAGTGCTTCAGTGTAAGACTTATATAGGGCAGGGGTAGGGGGACAGTTTAAACAGTGAAATAACAAAGAACAGAAAAAGCAACAATGGTGGCACTGAGTAGACTGGAAGGGCATTTGTTTACAGCATGAGAGCTGAAACAAGAGGGCCGAGTGTCTACCCTGTTCGAGTTCAGCTGGGAATGTGCCTGTAGGATGTCTCAGGTTTTTTTTTGCTGCTTTATGCATGCTTGTAAATGACCAGGAAAACACTGCGAGTATTGATTTCAGGGTGAAAAATAAATTTTAGCAAGTAGCACAGGGGTTAAGTGCTATACGGAGGTAGCTGAATCTTACACGGGTGACTGCAGTGGCTTGAAAATCATGTCTGGCTCATGTGCACATATATCTAGGATCCTGATAGATTCTGAGAAGCTGGGAGGCTGTGGAAAGGAGATTGCAGTGTGAGGCGAACCTATGAAGGGTGCGCCTCTTTATTGTGCACACCTGTGGGCAAGTATGTGTGTTCGCTGTCGTTAAAAAGAAAAAGAAGGCTTCAAATGCTAGATATTAAAAAAATGATAGAAATTCTAAAACTAGGGACCAGCAGTTGGCATAATGGCTATGTCACAGGACTCCCATGTAGTAGACCATGGTTCAAGTCCCAGACCCGGTGTCTTAAATGCACACCGGGAGCATGTGCGTGCGTGCACAAGATCCCGAGAGAATAGAGAAGGGATTGCGACATAGCCATTCCCCCTGGGGGGTGATTTCTCGCTTTCTGTCTCTCTGTATCTCTCTGTCTTTCTGGCGAATGCACACACCCTATGCAGAAACCTCTCCAAAAAAAGAAAGAAATTATAAAATTTAAGACCTTGCCTGAATCACTTTGGTTGCTTCCTACAGGTAGTTTCAAAAAACTGTCAACATGGGTGACGTGAACAGTTGTTCATGGTGATTCTAATCCTCATTTGTAATATTTTTTCTCTCCATCTGTTACTGTGTTTGTTTTTGAGAAGTTTTTGCTATAGGGTGCATGCGCTCGCCAGAGAGACAAAGAGAGACAGAGAGACAGAAAGTGAGAAATCACTCCCCAGGGTGATGGCCACGCCGCAATCCCTTCTCCTCCATTTTTCTCTTGGGATCTTGGGCACACACGCACACGCTCCCGGCGTGAGTTCAAGCCACCGGGTCCAGGACTCAAACCATAGTCAACTACATGGGAGTCCAGCAACATAGCCATTACGCCAACCGCTGGTCCTGTTACTGTGTTTTTTATGGTCATATGACAAAAGTAGTGTGTCATTAAAAGTATGTTTCTTGAAAAATCATGATGCTTAAAAAGCTGAGGGGCCCAGGTTCAGTGAGCGCCTACATGATAGCCCGAACGTATGACTAAATGAATGAACGCATGGATGGATTCATGGCCCTGGGCCTCCCTCGGGTCCAGCTTTGTGCTGCTGGATACAGTGCGGGGACTGTGCCTCAGCCATGAGGCCAGCGCAGGTGGGGTGCTCAGGAAACCATCAATGAAGGGATTCTTATCAAGTGCCCTGGGGCTTTTGTATCCCCCTCTCTCTACTAGGCTGGCAATGAGTCATTAAATGACAAATTTAATAAATTATTTCCTGTAGGAGTGGTGTATGTGTTTGGGGTGAGGTTTTACAAAAACAGCCAGTTTCTTTGAGACCAGGATCATTTCACAAGCGTTTATTGATGAGGGGCATTAGCAGGCTAAGCCCAGGTAAGTAAGCGCCAGCAGGGACTTTCTGGAAGCCGTGTCTGTCAGGAATCTTCGTCTCCAGCGTGTCATTTGGGTCCTGCCTGCTGAAAGTACTTGTGACAGGCAGATGTGAGTGCGGCTACAAACACAATGAACTCGTTGAAGTCCACCTTGGCATCTCCGTTGGTGTCCAGATCCTTGAGCAGTTTGTCCACGGCATCCGTTTCCCTTCCGCTCTAGGTGAGAGAGAGGACAAGGTCTGCAGAGAGGGCGCCTGTGCGGGCCTGAGCCAGCTAAGCACCGCTGCCAGGAAAAGGAAGGCACCACGTCTGTGCTGCATCTGCTGGTGCCAGAGCCCGTGTTCGGACATACGTCATCCATAGAAAGAACACGTGGTCCTGGGGCCGGCAGGTGGCGTGGTGGTTAAGGGCGCAGGACTCCAGCATGGTCAACTGCAGTTCGAGTCCCAGACCTGGTGGATTGCTTTCTCATTTTCTCTTTCTCTCTCTCCTCTCTCTGGCCAAATTTAAATAAGTTAAATAAGATAAATTTTGGGAACCAGCTGTTAGCATAATGGCTATGTCGCTGGACTCCCACATAGTCGACAGCGGTTCGCATCCCGGACCTGGTGGCTTAAAACTCACACTGGGCACGTGTGCGTGCATGCCTGAGATCCCAAGAGGAGAATGGAGGAGAAGGGATTGTGGTGTGACCATCCCCCCTGGGGGGTGATTTCTCGCTTTCTGTCTCTAGGTCTCTCTCTGTCTGTCTGGGGAGCACATGCGCCCTATAGCGAAAACCTTTCTAATAAATAAATAAATAAAAAGAGAAAGTTTTTTAAAAACATGGTCTTGAAGTGAGCTATCTTAAGCTATATGACTGACATCAACTAACCTGCAGTGTTTCAAGGTCAGATTTGAATTACGTTATGCAGGAACATACTTTTATTATTTTTTATTTTTTGAGAGGTTTTTACTATAGGACACGCGCTCACCAGAAAGACAGAGAGAGACAGAGAGACAGAAAGCGAGAAATCAGCCCCCAGGGGGGATGGCCATGCTGCAATCCCTTCTCCTCCATTCTCTCAGGATCTTGGGCACGCACGCACATGCACCCGGCGTGAGTTTAAGCCACTGGGTCCGGGACTTGAACCGCGGTCGACTACGTGGGAGTCCAGCGACATAGCCATTACTCTAACTGCTGGTCCCATACTTTTATTTTTGCAGGGGATTATTTTGGACTTACAGTATGCTTTATAGTGATGATTATTCCCAAGAAGCGAGTTCACCTGAGGACGCGTTCTTTGTGCATTGTTACCTCTGTGGCTGTCGGTCTTGTACCAACACTGATCTAGCTGCTTTATACAAATCTGTAAACCTCACAGCCACCAGGCAAGGAATTGCATCACCCGGTTAACAGATGAGGGTGACAAGGTCTGGAGGGCCTCAGGGACCTGTTTGAGTTCTTGTGGGGAGAAGAGGAAAGCTGGGGTTGTGACCTTGGTGCAAAGGGTGCACAAGGTCCCAGGCCTTTCAGAGGACCAGGAGGGGACAAGAGTTGAGAGGCCATCTGAGAGACAGCCTGCTCACGTTACAGGGCCAGGGCTGCCAGAGTGCAGGTCTAAACATCAGCAGGAGGGGCGCTGACTGCCCACTCCAGGACCGGAGAGCTCCGCGCTCCCTTGGCCAGTGCTCTCAGGAAACTCAGCTACATGCATGAAGATGTTAATTACAGCATAGTTTGTAACAGCAAAAGTTGGAGAAATGGCAAGTTCAACAGTCAACGACAAATAGTGTCAATACTTCAAGGCCAGTGAAAGTGATGGTTATGGGGACCAGCAGTTGCCTGTGTGGCTGGACTCCCATGTGGTCGATCATGGTTCAAGTCCCGGACCCAGTGGCTTAAACTCAAGCTGAGCGTGTGTGCGTGTGTGCCCAAGATCCTGAGAGGAGAATGGAGAAGGGATTGCAGCGTGGCCATGCCCCCGGGGGGTGATTTTTCGCTTTCTGTCTGGTGAGCGCACACGCCCTGTAGCAAAAACCTCTCCTGGTAACTGGACAGTCACCTTGTATTTTTCTTTTTTTGAGAGGTTTTTGCTATAGGGCGCATGCACTTGCCAGACAGAGAGAGACAGAGAGACAGAAAGCAAGAAATCACCCCCCAGGGGGGATGGCCACGCCGCAATCCCTTCTCCTCCATTCTCCTCTTGGGATCTTAGGCATGCACGCACATGCGCCCAGCGTGAGTTTTAAGCCACCGGGTCCGGAACGTGAACTGCGGTCGACTACGTGGGAGTCCAGCGACATAGCCATTACGCTAACTGCTGGTCCCTCACCTTGTATTTTTGAAGCCCAACACTGCCAGACACTGGGATGGGCATCCAGGAAACGGTCACAAACTCAGCATAATCCCTGCTCTCAGATGGACATTGTTCTGACATTTGGAGGGAGGGCTGAGAAAGTACACAGAGGCTGTTGGGCACCTGGGCCTTTACTTTTACCATGTTCCCCCAGGTAATTCTGGTGTAACCCAAGTTCGAGAATGCCTGGCATAGCCACTGGTTATCAGAGTGCTCCATGAACCTACATCAGCCCTTCCCCTCCCACACCCTAATGTCTTGGATCAAAATCCCCATGGGTTAAATTCTCAAACTTTTTTTTTTTTTTGGAGAGGTTTTTGCTATAGGGCACGTGTGCTTGCCAGACAGACAGAGACAGAGAGATAGAAAGTGAGAAATCACCCCCCAGGGGGGTTGGCCACGCTACAATCCCTTCTCCTCCATTCTCCTCTCGGGATCCTGGGCACACACGCACACGCGCCCAGCATGAGTTTAAGCCACCGGGTCCAGGACTTGAACCATGGTCGACTACATGGGAGTCCAGCAACATAGCCATTACACTAACTGCTGGTTCCCCTAAATTCTCAAACTTTAATGATTATCAGAACACCCTGTGTCCCATGCACAATTTCCCAGCATGGGATGGGGATGTTTAGTGAGAATCAGAGTTCCAGAATTTATGCCATAATGTTAATACAAAAAATAGTAAGTTGTGAGGCTGGCAGCTGGAGCAGTGGTGAAGGTGTTGGATTCTCCCATGGCCAACTGTTGTTTGAGTCCTAGTCCTGGCATTTTGCTTTCTCGCTTTCTCTTTCTCTTAATGTTAAATTAATAGTAATCATAATAATAATAAAAATAAAAAAATAAAATGAGGGGCTGGCAGGTGGCATGGTGGTTAAGGGCACTGGACTCCCACATGGTCAACCAGAGTTTGAGTCCTGGGCCTGGCGGCTTGCTTTCTCACTTTTTCTCTTTCTCTTTCACTCTGTTTCTCTCTGGTCAAGGTAAAAAAAATAAATAATGAAGTTAAATAAAAAATAATAATTCTTTTAAAAAACAAAATGAATAATTCTTTATAAATTAGGATTTCCCTCGCATCAATGCTCACATGGGGAAAGACTGGGAGGGAGAGGGAGAGTATATTCTGGTAGGAATGTCTTTCCTCAGCATTACTGTATTTCTACATTTCCTACCTGTCATGCTTTCATCTTCAGTGATCATCAGGGCAGACCCCTTAGAGGCCAGGAAGGGAGGGGAGGGAGAAACGGGAAGTGGGGAGAAAGGGGCAAAGGTACAAGAGGAGTTGAAAAAAAGGGAGGTGGAGGAAGATGCTGTCCAGGGTAGAAGACTTGTCCTCAGCCTGGCCTGGAGGGGCCTTCTTGTGAAGCTCCGGGCCAGTGGTTCCCACCGCCTACAGTGGGCCCAAGGGAGGTTCTGGGCAGTCAGGTGCCAAGCTAGGACCTCCTGTCCTTTCCCTGCCCAATGCAAGGCAACAGGAACCTGAGGTTGGAGGTAGGTGGGCACGTGGGTGGTGGAGCAGGGATGTCTGTGTCCTGCAACCTTGGGGAAGGACAGCTCCAAGGGGCCAGCAGATGGCCTCAGGTATGGCCCTGATTCCTTTCTGTCTTCTCCTTCTCCCCCTAGATTCAAGTTCTACTGTCCCACGAGGCCACTGCAGGGAAAGAATCCTGGTCACAATTACCTTGGGGCTCAACTCTGATTTCAAGGTGCAACCTGGCCACAGCCCCTCTGCACAGATATGCCAGTGTCCCTGTCCTGGGGTAGCAGTCCATTCCTTGGCCTTTCGAGATCTGCCCTACTTTTACTGCCATCCTCCTACCTACCCCTGGCTGTGACCTTACACCAGTTGTGTTTCCTGTCCCTTTCTGCACCCCCCCCTTTACCTGCAGGAAGCACGGGAGCTCCTTCTCCATCAGCACCTTCAGCTGTGCCTTGGTTAGACTCTGGTCATTGCCATTGGCACCTGAGTACCTGGCAAAGACGTCAATGATCATGCCCATGGCCGTCTCCAGTTCCGTCATGGTGCCGGGTTCAGATCTGCCTTCCTCCTGGGGGCTGGTGCGGCTGAGGAGATATCCTGCTGGAGGCCTCCTGGTACTTATAAGCTGATCGCAAACTGACAGGGTGGGACAAACAGGGCCGGACCACTCAAACCCCGCCCCTCTCTGTGTGACTTGGCTCCAGTGAAATGCACTGCTGTGACTTCCTTTCTGGCACCTTTTCCCCAGCTGGGTCTAGGAGACAGTCACCCCGGGGGCATTCACACTCTCCTGTGCCTTGGGGTAATCACTGAATCACAGTGGTACCCCACCTTGGTCCCCCACCCCAGGACGACGGGCGGACTCTCTGGGGTAAGGGGCTGCCTGGCAAGTATTTGTTGACTGAGTTGTGGATGAGTCATCTGGTCCTGTCCATACAGCTACTGGAATGTGCTGGCACTTGGTGGGTGGACGTGGGAAAGTGAGTGTGTGTGAGCATGGTTATGCCCAGGCCGCCCACTGTCCAGAACACCTGTCTTTGGAGGACCATACCTCAGTCCCACTGGCTCACTTGCTTCCAAACCCCCCGCAGCCATAGGGTTTAGACAAGGCAAAGACTCCTGGGGCCTTTGGGCATCAAGATCTCAGGGTCTCTTTCAACTTTGCACCTCCTCCTCTGTTTCCCGTGCTCTGGTGGTGGGCACTTGGAAATATGGAGTGTTGCAGGAGTGCCCGAGGAGCTTGTCGGGAAATGGTTCCAGACCCTTTTCCAGCCTCTTCCAGAGTGCTGGCCTTCAGGGAGTTTCCTAAACTCTCCCAACACAGCCTCCACACTGCAGGTGGAGGTGGCTCTCCCCACAGGGGAAGATCAAGGCACAGCACCTAAAGGCTTGGCACAGATGCAGGGGCCTACAGGGCTGACAAGGCCGTCTTTGTTCATGTCGCCTCTGTCCTGGTTTCCTGCAGCGGCGGCTCAGCCTGACCCCACTGGTGACCATGTGGGAAGCAGAGGAAGATCTGTTCCACTCCTGAGCAGAGCAGTTCCCTTACCATGAGATTCCTACCACCTCCCAACAAGGGCAGCCTTTACTAATTTAGTTTTAAATTTTGTCTTAGGGTGTGTGCACCTGCCAGAGAGAGACAGAGAAAGAGTGAGAAACCACCCCGCAGGGGGAGGGCCATGCCGCAATCCTGTCTCCTTCATTCTCCTCTTGGAATTTTGGGCATGCATGCACATGTGCCCAGCTTGTTTCCCAAGTCACTGGGTCTGGAACTTCAGTTGCACGGTCAGCCGTGTGGGATCCAGCCACCTCCACCACCATGCCACCTGCTGGCCCCCAGGACAGCTTTTATCCTAGGACCTGCTGAGCACAGCAAAAGGGGGCAGAGAGCAAGCCAACTACTGGCAGGGAGCTTAGGCAGCACATACACGGGAAACTCTGGATGTCACAACTGGGAGAGGAAGGGCTGAGGACAAGTGGGGACTGCTCTACGCCTCACCTGCTTTGGGCCCTGGAGTGTCACAAGATTTGCTGCAGCAACCACCCAGTTGACCTTGAGGATAAGCTCCTTCAATTATGGGGGTCACATTTTCCAAGAAAGGGTTATGCCCAGACCGCTGTCAGAGAACCCGGTAAAGAATTATTCTGATGCGTTTTTTTTTTTTTTTTTTTTTTTTTT